GACAAGTTCATAAAGGGCCTTATAAGCCATGATAAGAATTTTGTCCTTAGAACAATAGGAAGTCATTCCTATTGAAGTGTTCTAAGGTGTGTGTGTGTGTGTGTGTGTGTGTATTAGAGAGAGAGAGACAGAGACAAAGAGAAAGTAATAAATTTGCATTTAGAATCACTCCATTGAAAGATGGATGAAGAATGGACTAGAGGGCTAGAGTAGATATGCAGCAAAACTAGTTTGGAAGCTACTATAATAATCCAGGTGAGAAAATGATGGTAACCTGGACTAAAATGGTGGTAATTGAGATGGAGAGAAATAGATGGAAAGATATGTAAAAGGTAAAATTGGTAGGGTTTGTGATAGATTAGATATGGGGGATGATATGAGAGGAAGACTGTCAAGGACGATGCCTAGATTTATGGCACATACCAATGGATACTGGTCGCATTTATGGAAAGACAGATAACAAAAAAGGCCCAGCATTAGTGGAGGGAAAAACATGAATTGTGTTTTGGCTTATTGTATAGGCAATTAAGATATATGCATCTGGAACTCAGAGGATAGGTATCATAGAAAGTTTCTCTTATTTTTTTACTTTCTGGCATTTAAATTCACTTATATTTGGAGAATTTTTTTTACCTCAGTCTGAGGGAAACAAGAGATGGAGCATGTGGCCTAGGCTTCCCCAAATCAAATGTACCCACCCCAAATTTTGCATTTGAAGTAAGGGACACAAAGAAGTGTGCCCTAGGAAGAATTTCTTCTGGCAGTGATGGCAGTTGAAATTAGATCAAGTTTGTAGGGCAGTTGTGGTTGTGGACATAACAGAAGCATCTCATGCTGGTGGTAGTGGTGTGAACTGCAGTCCTTAGTGCTTGGTTGTGGTTGTGTTGTCTTGACCTCCAGTTCTGTGGTATGAGTTTGGGCATTGCTCTTTCCTAGGTTGCCTCTGAGTCTGGTTCTCTAGCTATTCTGGGGATTTTGTGATAAGCAGTATCATTTGAACAAATTCTGTTTTCGCTTACACCAGCCAGAGTCACCTTCGGTTGTTTGCCACTAAGGACATGGATTGATACTAGAGGCCCGGGCTAGAGATATACATTTGTGAGTCATCTGTATAGTAGTTGTAGTGGAGGGAAAAATTACTTTAATATAGAGTACAGAATAAGAAAAGGGCTAGGATTGAGCCCAAGGAATTTATAACATTTCATGATTCAGTGGAAGAGGATGAGTCTGAAAGAAGAGATAAATTATTAGAGATAGTAGAAAAAACAGGTAAATACTGTATCTCAGAAGCAAAGATGTTAGAGTTTTTTTAAAGTAATCTCTATGCCCCACATGAGGCTCAAACTCATGACCCTGAGATCAAGAGTTCTATGCTCTACCAACTGAGCCAGCCACGTGCCCCAAGGTGTTGGAGTTATTGATTCTCACTTTACATTTGAGGAAACTAAGCTTGGGTTAGAAACCTGCCCAAAGTTTTGACTTAAGAAATGATAGAATCAGAAGTTGAGTCCATATCTGTATGCCTACAAAATGGTTTATAGAGTTGATTGGATATATATAAGGGATATATCAAAGAACACTGGGTGTTACGTGCAACTAATGAATCATTGAACACTACATCAAAAACTAATGTACTCGGGCGCCTGGGTGGCTCAGTTGGTTAAGCGACTGCCTTCGGCTCAGGTCATGATCCTGGAGTCCCGGGATCGAGTCCCGCATCGGGCTCCCTGCTCAGCAGGGAGTCTGCTTCTCCCTCTGACCCTCTTCCCTCTCGTGCTCTCTATCTCTCATTCTCTCTCTCTCAAATAAATAAATAAAATCTTTAAAAAAAAAAAAAAACTAATGTACTCTATGTTGGCTAATTGAATTTAAATAAGAAAAGAAAAGAAAAAATCAACAAGACTTTGTGAATAGTTGTAAGAGATGAAGAAAGTAATGAGTCATATAAGATACCAACTTTCCACATATTGATTTTGAGGGTAATTACTGTGCTACTGAGACAGGCGTGTTAGAGGGAAAGGAAGAGATGACTTTGGATTTGGATCAGATTGAAACCAGACTAATGGAAAGCGTGTAAATGTAAATATTTTTATAACTTTCAGATAATAAGATAGGACTGGAAATAAAGATTTGGGAATTTTAAGCACAGAAGTGATAACTAAAGTCATTAGCATGAATGATCCAAAGAAAAGAGTATAGAGAAAGGTAGAGTTAAAGAAAAGGCTTTGATAAGAGTCCATAGTTGGGTAGTGATGGTAAAAGGGAAGAAGTAGAAGCCAAAATCAGAAGTGCTGGTAGGAGAAGTAGAGAACTATGAGAGAGCAGTGTCTTGGAAGTCAAGGTTGCAAAGACCTTTAATAGGACCAAATATGGAGGAGAGTTAGAAAAAAAGGTGGGGTGGGGGATAAGACTGAGAAAAGACCATTAGATTTGGAATAAAAATATTTTATTGATTATCTGAGAAAGCAGTTAATTGTCATGGGGATAGCAGATGAGTTTAAAAAAGTCAATGGGAAAGGAGTGGAAAGCAATAGTAAATAGGAGATGTGTTTTCTGTTGGATAGATTTAGCAGTAAAAGGGAAAAAAAGGAATACAGTACAATTAGAATGGGGAGCAGGTTTAAATAAGGAATTTCTTCAGATTCTGATCTGCATGTCCGGTGCAAAGGGGAAGGTGCTAATAATAGGTAGGGAGGGATTTTTATGGGAGTACTTTCCCAGAAAATGATTTGTTAAGATAAATGTTTACCTGAGTCAACGGTCTATAATTTTTCTAATGGTGCTCTATATTTCATTGGGGGAATAGAGAGGGAAGAAAAAAATTTGTTATTTAAAACCCTCCAGTAGATGGAACTTCATCTTTATTGCTTTCTAGAAGGGATTTTTTACAATGGAATTGGTGGTAGTGGTTTTGGTAGAACACAGTTGTATTCTTGTGAGATTAATTAGGATATGCATAGATGTGAACTTAAATGCAAATAAATTGATTTTCAGGTTTCAGTAAGGTGGTGTTTCCATGTTTCCACAAATTTTTACAAGAAAATCTACTGTTAAGTTGAACTGCATCAACACTTTTGACCTATCAAATTGTCTTGACAGTCATAGCAATGTAGTACCAGCAAGACTAAATAACTTTAACCTTCATATTTATGCCCTTATGCCTTCCTAAAAAGGGGGTAGTTAACGAATATATCATAAACAAGTATAAGAATGAAGCTGTTAAATCTCTTACATCATCAAACTTCATTAGTTTTGATGGCTTACTATCAATACTAATGAGCAACATTACACCACATTATAATAAAATCAGTTATGCACATATAATCTGAAGTATTTAAGCAAGAAAAACCTCTGAAAATTTTTTTCATTTTAATAATCTGCGAATTTAGGTTGTGGTGAGTTGAGGCAATTATTTAGATCATTTAATATTGAAAATCTTTACCAGAAATGTTAATAATTAAATCAATTTGGGGGCTGATTTGCTTAAATTATATTTTCTCTACTCTTTTTTTCACTTTGGATATGCTGACAAATTCTAAGAGCACAAATTATCTAAAGGCAGCATTTGGACAAAAAATGTTAATGTGCATTTTATTTGAAACTAAACAAATGAGTCACTCAGAATGTTTGTTGAATGAAAATATATTTGAATTCTTATGCTTGCTTTTAAAGAAGTTTTGAAAATGCTGAATGCAAAATTGAATTCTGATGATCGATTCGAGTTTTTTCCTCAATTTTACTGCTGTTCTCTGAAAATACTTTTTTAAACTGCTATGTTACAAGAGGAATGAATCGTCTTAAAACAACATTTGTCTTCAAGGCAACAGGAAAATCCCTGACAGGTCCCCTGTGTCTCCTTTCAGGCAGGGCTTCTCTCTGACTCTCGCACCACTTCTGGGGTTTTGGGGCGCTTGGTTCACGCTTCGCCCAGGGGGTTAGAGGTGATTGCCGCAGCGCTGGTCTCGCGGGGAGTTCGATCTCGCTCTTCAGCGCGATCTGCAGCTCCCGCTGCCGACTTCGCGGAGTCTCGCGGGGCTGGGTGGGGCCGAAGCGGACCCCCGCCCGCCTTTCAATGTCGGGTTCTGCGTGGAGTACCCCGCCCTCGCGACCCTGAGTCGAGTTGTGGGACCAAGAGAAGGGAGGGCGTGAAACGTTCGGGTCCCGGAGGGGCCGTTGAGGTGGGTGGGAAAGGGAGCTCTGTGTGGCGGTTACTCCCTGGGCGGGCGGCTCTGAGGGATCTGGGGGGCTGACGGGCCCTGTCCCCAGAGTTCGACCAGCGGTCGCGTCAGGGCTTGTCGGCGCGTGGCCTCCTCCTCCGCCCGAAGCAGTAGGCGCCGCCGCCTGCCTGGAGGGTTGGGGAGGGACCCGGGTGAGCCGAAGCGCGCTGGCTGTGAGGGTGTTTGTCCCGAGCGAACTTCGCGCTTCAGAACGGGCGGGAAGAGTGGCTCCTCGAATCTGCTCGTGACGAGTAATACGACCCCCGCCTCAGGCGTATTTTGTAATGCGACTTGGCAGTCCTGTGAAAACCTCCACTTTTTGGATTTTGGGTGGTAAATTACATTCTCGCTTGGTTTTACGTTGGTTTTGGTTAAGGACTTTCTTTAGGAATCTTGCTACGCGTAGGGGTACACGCGCAGAGAAAGGGCATATTCAGAAAGAGGATTTTAAAGGACATATCCTTTTGAGGAGTCTTGGTGTCTGTGCACTCCAGAATATTCAATGACGTATTGCAATACCACGTATAAATGATTATGAAGGCTCCCCCCGCCCCCCAGATATTTCAGTCCTGCAACGACGTTCAGCAGGTATTTATTGGGGCCTTACTAGGGCTGTGCCCAGTACTGGGCTGAAAGGGTCCCTCTCCTCAGTTCTTGCTCCCCCCCCCCATTTTGCTGTAATAATGCCTGGTTAAAAATGTTACCAAACGAATATATGCTGTTTTGCATATGACTTCAGAAAATCCTTCCTTACAATTTTTTTTTTTTAATATAGTATCCAAGATGAATGACAGCCTATTTGTCAGTTTGGACAGACTTTTGCTAGAATTTGGTAGGTATAGAATAAAAATAAAGAAGTAGGTAACTATTTGTATTATCATTTAACATTTTAACAATGAAATGCAGTCACTGTTTTTTTTTTAGTTTTCCAGTATGAGCAAGATATAAGTACTAAAGAAGATATGCTTCAACGAATTAATAGTAAGTCGTTTTGTGTGATAAAATTATTCTAGCTTTTAAGTTTTTTATGGCATATAAGATAATAAGCAGTTGCCTTGTTTAGGGTAACTTATAGTTGGGATTATAACTTTCGTTCTAGTTCTATCTAGTGACTAATACTAAGCTGTTTGCCCTAACTATGGCTTTTCAGTAATACATTTCTGTATTCAGCATTCAGTTATTTTGTGTTGAAGAATTTTGCTTTAAGCAGATATAACACCTTAATTAAGCACAGTTGAAATGTTATTTTTTCAAATAACAGGTTATTTCAAACATGAGTAAATTTTAAATTTATGCTTTTTTATAGTTTCAAATTTTTATTTAAATTCCAGTTATTCAACATGCAGTGTAATATTAGTTTCAGGTGTAGGATTTAGTGATTCATCACTTAACATACAACACCGGTGCTCATCACAAGCGCCTTCCTTAATATCCATCACCCATTTAATCCATCCCCCCCATACCTCTACCCCCCAGCAAGCCTCAGTTTGTTCTCTATCGTTGAGTCTCTTTTATGGTTTGCCTCTCTCTCTTTTTTCCCCTATGTTCATTAGTTTTGTTTCTTAAATTCCACATATAAGTGCAATCATATGGTATTTGTCTTTCTCTGACTTACTTTGCTTAGTGTGATATTCTCTAGCTCCATCCTTGTCGTTGCAAACGGCAAGATTTCATTCTTTTTTATGGCTGAGTAATATTCCATTGTAGATAGGCACCACACCCTTTTTTTTAAAGATTTATTTATTAGAGAGAGAGAGAGAGAGAATATGAGTGGGAGGGTCAGAGGGAGAGGGAGAGAAAATCTCAAATAGACTCCACGCTGAGCACCTAGAGGGATGAGGGGGCTCAGTCCCACGACAGGGAGATCAGGGCCCAAGCTGAAACCAAGAGTCAGATGCCCAACTGACTATACCATCCAGGTGCCCCTACACCACATCTTCTTTATCCGTTCATCAGTGGATGGACATTTGGGCTCTTTCCATAATTTGGCTATTGTTGATAATGCTGCTATAAACATCAGGGTGCATGCCCCTTCTAATCAGTTTTTTTTTTTTTAGAGAGAGTGCACTTGAGGGGTGGTGGGGAGAGGGGCAGAGGGAGAGAGAAAAGCCTAAGCAGGCTCCTCACTCAGCACAGAGCCTGACCCAGGGCTCCATCTCACCACTCTGAGATCAAATCAAGAGTTGGATGCTTAACTGAGCCACCCAGGCACTCTTCCAATCAGTATTTTTGTATCCTTTGGGTAATACCTAGTAGTGCAGTTGCTGGATCACAGAGTAGTTCTCCTTTTAACTTTTTGACAAACCTCATACTGTTTTCCAGAGTGGCTGAACCAGTTTACATTCCCACCAATAGTGTAAGAATGTTCCCCCTTTTCCACATCCTCACCAACATCTGTTGTTAATTTTAGCCAGTCTGACAGGTGTGAGGTGATATCTCATCGTAGTTTTGATTTGTATTTCCCTGATGATGTGTGATGTAGAGCATCTTTTCATGTGTCTGTTAGTTATCTGTATGTCTTCTTTGGAAAAATGTCTGTTTGTGTCTTCTCATTTTTTAACTGGATTATTTCGGTTTTGAGTGTTGAGTTTGATAAGTTCCTTATGGATTTTGGATCACATGAGTGAATTTTAAAAATCTTTTTAGACATCACCAAAAGTCAGGGGCCAGGATTGATGGATGTCCATTTTCAGGAATAATTCTGAAAAATGATATAAGAGGGAAATGGCAAAGCAAATTACATAAATATAGTATTTTAAGATCCTACATAAAAACTATCATAAAATATAACCATTAATATCTTGATGGTTCTGAAAAGATAGAATTTGGTTACCTTTCTGCAACAAAAAAGAATGCAGATAAAATAAGAATTTATTTTAATATTTAAATTATATTTTTATCTTGTATTTATTCACTCATAACAAATAAGTGAGTCAAAGGTGTATTTAATAATTAATTGACATGGAATTGGTGAAGAGAAATTTTAACATTTGTCAAAACCAAAACAAGTTAGTATCATATATGACTAAATGTTTATATGAACTCATACTATCATAAGATGCCATTGATCCTAGATATCACTTAATCTAGCCCTCTTAAAGTTAAAGATGAGGGACACGGACATTTCTTTCTTTCTTTCTTTTTTTAAGTTTTTATTTAAATTCCAGTTAGTTAACACAGTATAATATTAGTTCCAGGTGTACTTCTCCCATCCCAAACACAAATCCTTTACTTCTGGGTCTAGGAGCAAGCCTGGTTCTGGTTCTGTGTTTTTTAGTATAGGGCCTTCCCATCTCAAGCCTCACTCCCTCTCAGTTCTCTCATTCTCCTCCTTTTAGGTAAATTGCCATACCTCTTTATCCTCTGTATTTGTTAATTTTGAATTTATGATTTCTACCTTAAAAATAAACATTTCTCCTTTCCAGAATGCTTTGAAGATATTAAAGAAAACAAGGCAACTATTTGTAAGATACATGAAACTATAAATACAACAGATGAGGAAATTGGTCATTACTGTAAACATAGTAAGGAGATCAAAGACAACTGTAGTAAGTGAGTATTTGAAAGAAATGAACTTCCAGTAACTGTCACTAGATTTTTTTATTCAAGGTTTCTGTTATTTATAATTTATAGTATTTATAATTGAAGACACTGTTGCTTTAAAGTAGTGTTTTGTATTAGCAGAAGAATGACTCAGGTCTTGCTTTGCTACATGCTTTGGTAAAGAGGGATCTAGGAGGATCAAAAGAAAAATAGAAGTGCTGTAAAATCTCTCTAATTCAGATCTGAATAGTCTACAGAATTTTGAATAATATAGGCTCAGTATATAAAATTCCTATTAGGTAAATACATTTGAAATAATTTCCATCTTTGAGTTTTTAAGATCTTATTTTTTTTAGGGGAATCTAGCCTAAAATAAGTTGCTTTTCAAAGTAAAGGTATTCAATATGTTAAGAATTCTTTCAACATGGCTTCAGGTTCTGGATCCTAGTGGTTAAATTTATTATAAGACATAAACATTTTGAAACAAAGGCTTACTAGTGGAACTTTATTGTACATTACAAAAATAAAATGTGTTAGTTTTCTGTACTTTATGTAGACCATTGTCTTTGTATTAACTACTATAGAATCCCAGTTGTTTTAAAATATTTTTTATTCAGAACTTTAATTTTTTTTATTTTCCCCCTTTATAAAACTAATGCATACCTAGTATAAAAATCCAAAAATTATGTAAATGTGTAGTATAAAAAGTTATTCCCTGCCTGCAGTTTCTACCTCAACCTTATCCTCTTCCTTATAGGTAATGATTTTTAATGATTCTATCTTTTCAGACATTTTTCAATAAAAATTCAGTGTCACTATTACATAAACTTACATGTACATCTGTCTATATATCTATATTTTCTTTTTACAAAATGGGATCATACTGTAAATAAATAAACCTTTAAAAAAGATGTTTATATATATACTTATCATAAAATCTGGAAATAGTTTATTAAAACAATAATAGTAGTTATTATTCAGTGTTGAGAATATGGATGATAGTCATTTCCTTACATATACATTTCTTTGCTTCCAAAGTGGGCATGTGAATTTTTGAATCTGAAAATAATATTTAAAGATTCAAAAAAAGAGCTAGAGGAAATAGTTGAACAACACTTAGAATGGAAGCTGACATGGTGGATGCAAATTTTAGATTTTTCACATTTGGTAACATTTTTCAAGTCTTGTAATAAAACAAAAAATATGACTATTCATTTTATTCTTACTATCTGATTTTATAATGCATTTTGGCCTAGTTTCTTTCTTTCCAGTTCAGGAGGGTATAGCGACCCAACTTTCTAAGTTTCAAAGGAGAAAAAGCTTCTTTTTAGCCTTTATTCTAGTTCTTTGAATCCTTACTCCAAAAGAATTTGTTAGCCAAGATCTTAGAAGTATGATGAGAAGGAAGCCTGATGTTGGAGTGTTGCACAGTATATTCTAGAAATGCCATAGCAATACACAGTCCAGCCATATAACATTGGCTCTTTCCTTAGTCATGGTTCCACAATTGGTTTTATGTAAAAATTAATGGATATTGATATTTGAGTGTATGTATGATTGCCTGAATGGTGGTAGTGGTGGTGATGGGAGGTGGGAATATTTTCTTGATATAGGCTTGTTTTCTCCAGGAAGAGAAAGATTCATTTATCTTTAAATAGTTAAATTCATTTTTATTATCTCTTACAATTTATTTTTCTGCGATTCTAATTACAGTATTTTTTTTCCATAGCTGGAAGCCAACATGTGATGTTTTTCATAAGCATGAAGACTATATGCAGGACCAATTTACTATTTATCAAGAAACTATTGAAAAAGACAAGTACAGTACACATATTAATTTATCAGTTATATAATTTAGTATGCTTCGTAAAAATATTACTTGAAAAATGCAGAAACTTTGTACATTGGGAGATTTTTTGTTTTTGTTTTTTAAAGTAAATCCAGTGCTTTGGACTATTTGGGTGCCATTGGAGGCCTCCCTATTTGTTATAAAGCTCTACCACCCTGGATTATTTAGTTATGTCCTTAGATAAAAACAGTTTATCAGTAGGAATTGTTAATAGCAGAGTGCTTCAATTAATGGTCTTTATAATTGAATTGTTATAGGTAAATATCTGGGGGAATAGTTAGCTATAGACTTAGCTTATGAAAAATTTGGAGTATTGACTTTTTGAAGGGGATTTTATATGGAACTTCTCATTTTCAGAGAGCTAATGTACTAGGTGTTATATTCTAATGGAGAAGCCCATTGTATGGATTTATTTTATTATGTGTAAAATAACCTTGTTTGGAGGACTAAATGTAATTAGTGAATATAATGGAAAAAGGTGAGAGACTGTTTTTTGGTTTTTGGTTTTTGGTTTTTTTAAGATTTTATTTATTTACTCGCCAGAGAGAGAGAGAGCGCGCGCGTGAGTGAGCACAAGCAGGGGGAGTGGCAGGCAGAAGGAGAAGCAAGCTCCCCACTGAGCAAGGGGCCCTGATGTAAGGCTCGAGCCCAGGACCCTGGGATCATGACCTGAGCAAAGGCAGATGTTTAACTGACTGAGCTACCCAGGCATACCAAGAGAGACTTTGAACACATTATGTAGCATTATAATTTCACTTAATTTAAAAAATTGAAATGTTTTCATTTTTAACATAATTGGACACAAGCATGATTTTTTATATTTTTATATTTTATGTTATCTTTTTTATACTTTAGTTTTATTTTTTACTACTTTTTGTCCCAGTTTTATTGAGATATAACTGACATATAACATTGTTTAAGTTTGAGGTGTACAAACATGATGGTCTGATACATGTATATAATTTAAAGTGTCTACCACAATAAGGTTAGGAAGGTAGCACATCTGTCACTTTGTATAAGTACTATATTTTTTTGTAGTAAGAACATTTAAGATTTACTCTCTTAGCAACTTTTAAGTATATAATACACTGTTGTTATATTTACCATGCTGTGTATTAAATCCCCAGAACTTATTCACCTTATAACTGGAAATTTGTATCCTTTGGGCAACATCTCCCTATTTCTTCCACTCCTGGCCCCTGGCAACCACCATTCTATTCTCTGTTTCTATGATTTGGGTTTTTTAAGATTTTTACATATAAGTAAGATCATACTGTATTTGTTTTTCTCTTATTTACTCAGCATGATACTCTCATGGTCCATCCATGGTGTCATAAATGGCAGCAGTTCTTTTTTATGACTGAATAATATTCCATTATATATATATATATATATACACACACACACACACACCACATTTTTTAAAATTATTTTTTAAAGGGTTGAAACTCAGTGCCCAATGTGGGGCTCAAACTTATGACCCTGAAATTGAATTACATGCTCTACTGACTGGCCCAGGCAGATGCCCCTATATATGCATTTAAAAAAATTATTACTGAAGAATAATTGATGTACAGTGTTATATTATTTTCTGGTATGCAACATAATGATTTGACAATTTTTTAAAAAGATTATTTATTTTAGAGAGAGAGAGAGCGCACAAGTGAGCAGGGTGAGGGGCAGAGGGAGAGAGAGAGAGAATCTCAAGCAGATTTTCCACTAAGCGTGGAGGCTGATGTGGGGCTTGATTCTCCAACCAAGGAGATCACGACCTGAGCAGAAACCAAGAGTTGGATGCTGAACCCACTGAGCCACTCAGGCGCCCCCTCATTTATTTTATAACTGGAAGTTTGAACCTCTTAATCTCTTTCATGTATTCCCCACCCCTCCAGCTGCCCCCACCCCGGCAACCACTAGTTTGTTCTCTGTATTTAAGAGTCTGGTGTGTGTGTGTGTGTGTGTGTGTGTGTGTGTGTGTGTGTGTGTGTGTGTGTGTGTGTGTGTGTGTGTGTGTTTTCAGATTCCACATGTAAGTGAAATCATATATTTGCCTTTCTCTCTCGGACTTATTTCACTCATATTAGTACCCTTTAGGTTTATCCATGTTGTCGCAAGTGGCAAGACCTCATTCTTTTTTTTTATGGGTGAGTAATAGTCCATTGCATATATATCTATTTATATCTATCTCACTTCTTTATCCATTCATCTGTTGGTGGACACTTGGGTTGCTTGTATATCTTGGCTATTGTAAATAATTCAGCTGTAAACATAGGGGTGCATATATATTTTTGAATTAGTATTTTTGTTTTCTTTGGATAAATACCCAGTAGTGGCATTACTGGATTTGGTATTTCTATTTTTAATTTTTTGAGGAACTTCCATACTGTTTTCCACAGTGGTTGTACCAATTTACATCCCCACCAGTAGTGCACAAGGGTTGCTTTTTCTCCACATCCTTACCAGTAATTGTTGTGTCTTGTCTTTTTGATACTAGCTATCCTGTCAGGTGTAAGGTGATATCTCATTGTGGTTTTGATTTGTGTTTCCCTGATGATTAGTGATGTTGAGCATCTTTTCATGAACTTTTTGGTCATTTGTATGTTTTTGGAAAAATGTTCAGCTCCTCTGCCCATTTTTAACATGAATTATTAGCCTTTTTGCTATTCAGTTGTATGAGTCCCTTATATACTTTGAATATTAACCCCTTATTGGATATATGGTTTGCAGATATTTTCTTCCATTCTACAGATTGCCTCTTCATTTTGTTAATTTTTTTTTCTGCGCAGAAGCTTTTTTAGTTCAGCGTGGTCTCATTTATTTTTGCTTTTGTTGCTTGTGATTTGGGTATTATATCCAAAAAAACTGTTGCAAAGACCAATATCAAGGAGCTCTTCCCCTATGTTTTCTCCTAAGAGTTTTATGGTTTCAAGTATTACATTTAAGTCTTTAATCCATTTTGAGTTAATTTTTGTGAGTAGCATAAGGAAGGGGTACAATTTCATTCTTTCACATGTGGATATCCAGTTTTCCCAGCACCACTTATTGAAGAGACTATCCTTTCTGCATTGAGTATTCTTGGCTCCTTTTCCAACTATTTTTTTTAAAGATTTTATTTATTTGATATAGAGAGAATGCGGGGGGAGAGCACAGACGGAGAATGAGAGGGAGAAGCAGACTCCCCACTAAGCAGGGAGCCCAATGCAGGGCTCGATCCCAGGATCCTAATATCATGACCTGAGCTGAAGGCAGAGGCTTAAACGACTGAGCTACCCAGGTGCCCCTCCTTTTCCAGATATTAATTGACTGTATATACATGGTTTATTTGTGAGCTCTTGATTCTGTTCCATTGGTCTGTGTGTTGTTTTTATGCCAGTATGATAGTGTTTTGATTGCTATATCTTTGTAGCCTAGTTTGAAATCAGGGAGTGTGATGCTTCCAGTTTTGTTCTTTCTTGAGATTGCTTTGGCTATTTGGGGGTCTTTTGAAGTTCCATACAAATTTTAGAGTTGTTTTTTCTATTTCTGTGAAAAATGCTATTGGAATTTTGATAGGGATTGCATTGAATCCAAAGATGGCTTTGGGTAGTATGGACATTATAACAATTCTTCTGATCCATGAGTGCAGAATATCTTTCCATTTATTTGTGTCTTTTTCAGTTTATTTGATCGATGTCTTATAGTTTTCAGTGGGCAGACCTTTCACCTCCTTGGTTTAATTTATTCCTAAGTATTTTATTGTTTTTGATGCTATTGTAAATGGGATTGTTTTATTTCTTTTTCAGATAGTTTATTGTTAGTATATAGAGATGTAACTGATTTTTGTATGTTGATTTTGTAGTGTGAAATTTCACTGAATTTGTTGATTAGTTCTAACAGTTTTTGGGTGGAGTCTTAGAGTTTTTTGTAGATAAGATCATGTCATTTTGCAAACAGAGACCATTTTACTTCTTCCTTTCCTATTTGGATGACTTTATTTCCTTTTCTTGCATACTTGCTCTAGCTAAGATTTCCAGTACTACATTGATTAGGAGTGGTGAGAGTGGCATCCTTGTCTTATTGCTGATTTTGGAGGAAAAGCATTTAGCTCTTCACCATTGACTGTGATGTTAGTTATGGACTTGTCATACATGGCCTTTATTATGTTGAGGTATGTTCCTTTTATACCCAATTGTTGAGAGTTTTTATCATGAAAGGGTGTTGAGTTTTGCCAGATGCTTTTTCTGCATCTTTTGAGTGGATCATATGATTTTTATCCTTTATTAATGTGGAATAACATGTTTATTGACTTGTGTATGTTGAGCCATTCTTGCAACCCATGGATAAATCCTGCTTGGTCATTGTGTGATCATGTGCTGTTGAGTTTGGTTTGCTAGTGTTTTGAGAATTTTTCCATCTATATTCCTCGGGAATATTGGCCTGTAGTTTTCTTTTCTTGTAGTGTTCTCATCTGGCTTGGTATCGGTGTAATGCTGGCTGGCTTCATAAAATGAGTTGGAGTGTGTTGCCTTCTCTTCAGCTTTTTGGAAGAGTTTGAGAAGTATTGGTATTAATTCTTTAAATGTTTGGTACAATTCATCAATGAGACCATCTTGTCCTGGGCTTTTCTTTGTTGGGAGGTTTTTGGTTACTGCTACTTCAATCTCCTTGCTAAAAATTGATCTGTTCAGTTTTTCTGTTTCTTCATGATTGAGTCTTGGCAGGTTGTATGTTTCTAGAAATTTATCCATTTCTTCTGGGTTATCTAATTGTCTTATAATTGTTCATGGTAGCCTCTTATGATCTTTTTGTATTTCCATGGTGTCAGTTGTATGGTTTGTATTTCTATGGTATAATATCTCCTCTTTCATTTATAATTTTGCCTGTTTGAGTTCCTCTCTCTTTTTTTCTTGGTTGGTCTAGCTGAGGGTTTGCAAAATATTTTAATCTTTTCAGAAAGCCAACTCTTTGTTTCGCTGATTTTTTTCCATTGT